CTCTAGATGAAATGCAAATGCAAATGCAAATGCTTGGTAAAGAATGAGGAAACCCCTGCCCTGCCCTGCTCTAGATGAAATGCAAATGCAAATGCAAATGCTTGGTAAAGAATGAGGAAAAGATACTAGTTGGCAGACCTGCAGGCTAGGGTGAGGTGGTTCCTCTGGTTTGGGGCGAGGTACTTGTAGAGGGCCAGGGCCTGGCACACGAGGTGCAGGAAGAGGTCCCTCGGGATGAGCACCGTGGTCCGGCGCTTGTAGAGCTCGAACTGGAACTGCCTGGGGCTGGTGGCCGCGTCCGGCAGCTCGTACCGCTGCACCCCTCCGCTTTTACCTTGGGACTCCATCTCCATCTCCGCGGGGTCGCCGCGGACCACATCGAACACCCGCCGGCTAATCTTTTTTTTTATTTGATTTGATTGAGAGAGAAATCAGAGAGATCGAAATCAGAAACAGAGGGATCGAATGAATCCAAGAGGGGAAAGAAGAAGAGAGGAGACCTCGAATGCGTGCCTTGGCTTGCATCCCATGAGCTGCAGCGTGCTGTGGAGGAGGGATCGCGTGTAGCGGAAGGAGGAGGCGCCACTCTCGTCCACCACCACAATGTACAGGAGGAGCTTGGCGTGGGCGGCCATGGATTCGATTGGATTGGATTCCGACGGAGGCGCGGCCGGGGAGAAGGAGAAGGAGAAGGAGAAGAGGAGAGGAGAAAAGTCGGGTCTTTTCTTTGACGAATGAATGAATGCTTGATCTGCCGGTCCGGTCGTCTCTTGTCTTCTTGTCTTGTGGGTCGTTGGTCCAACACAACGTTTGGTCTCCTATTGTAATTTCTTTTTTCAGATTTTGGCGTGTTATTCTTGAATATATTATGCGCACAATTTATTTCTGGAACTATTTCCCCCTTTCTCTAGAGTCCATGTTCACTATTTCTTTTCTTTTTTGAAAGTCAATTTTCATGTTGTTGAGCACACAGTGCTCCTAAAAGTATTACATGCACGCGGAGCGTAGGGTGAGTGCCCATGTTAGCAATCTTGTGTTCCTTTTTCAAGCTTTAGGATTTAGTTTGGTTAAGAAAGCTTGTTGCACTGTATTAACACTGCTTGATCTATGGTTTTTATGCTTTTGAGCCCTAGATCCTCTCTTTGGCAAGTACTGCAGGCAACCGGTGAAGCCGAAGCCATTTATGAATGCAAGGCAGTATGTTTTATGATTTTATGACAAGTTTAAATTTTCAGCTGAACGAGTTGCCCAAGATTGCACATCTGAATGCAATCTTACTTTTACTTCTCCAGATGCCATGAAATTGTAAAGGTATCTTTCTATTCCTAGAATGATTTGACAAGGCCCATGTCGACGATCTATGCACCCTCACCTACGCCCAGGTTGTCTAAGAAAAAACAGTCCATTAGTTGTGAGATCTCTTACTGCTAAAATCAGTGGTCGGCGTGGCATGAATAAAATTCATAGCATGACATTTGGATTTGGCGTTTTTATGTGTACCTGACACGCCTTGAGGATTAAAGCTGCGCTTGAGTCAATTCGAATATTGTACAGTTGATTTCTTTATTGGGAGTTAAAGTTATATGTGATAGAATTCAACTTATCGTCCGTCTATATCATGGTTTGTAATTTGTTACGGTGTCAGGGCACCGCTGAGACGCACCTAGCCTGTAGAGCTTAACACTTTGAACAGTTCTCTTGAAAACATCTCTCACATATATTTGGACCCATACAAATTATTCAATTTTTCTTAAACACTGCTTGGATTTTTCAAAAATAGTCTAAGTATTTTTGTCAATATGAGCGGGCGCAGCAAAGCGCGCCTTCATGTTCTAGTTGTTCAACTCAACCGATAGACTCGTATTCATCCTGCCCGGTGAGAAGGAAGAGAGAGGCAACAAGGATAGCGTGACGCGCAACGGCGGATCTAAAGAAGGAGGGGAGGGCAAAGGACGACACCGTCCCCATGAAACAAAGGGTCAAAGAACAAGTAGGCCTCTTCAATCTTGCCTTGATTTACTCAAGTGTTTCTGCTTAGGGTTTTACATGTTGTATCTCTTGTGCTACAGGATGGCACAGAGGTGTGGTTCCTCCTCCGACTTGAAGAGCTGATGGATGGATTTTTACTGTATTGATTTAGAAACCATGCGCTTCCTGTTGAATGGCGCGCGCCTCCCTCCCGGACCAGCCCGTCCTCTACACCTTCCAGGAGCTCGCCAAGCGGGGCTCCTCCGACACCTTCTGGCGCTGCTCCCTCCGCTCCCGCCCAGCCGCGCTCTTCCAGCTCCGACCGCTCCCGCTTCTCACGCCCGCCTCCGCCTCCGCCGCGCTCGCCCGCTACCACCACGCCAGCCTCCGCCTCCGCCGCGCTCGCCCGCTACCACCACGCCAGCCTCGCGCGACTCCTTGGCGCCTGCCCCGCCGGCGCCCACGTCTACCTCGCCTACGCCCTCCCCCCAGGCGCCTGCACCCTCGCCGCATACCTCTCCTCCTCCTCCTCCTCCCGCGCCGGCGGCAGCAGCACCAGTAGAAGCGTCGTCCTCCGCACGTGGCTGTCCCGCGTGCAGGTGGCCGTGGACGTGGCCCAGGGCATCGAGTACGCTCACGCGCACGCCGACGCCGCGCACGGCCGCGTCTCCCCCTCCACCGTGCTCCTCGCCCCCGACGCCCACGGCAGCAAGAGCCAGGGCGTGCTGCTGCTGGGGCTGCTGTCCGGGGAGGCGGCGGAGAGCCGGTACCGGTTCGACCGCGCCACCAAGGAGTTGGCGCGGGTGTCGGTGGTGGACACGGCCGCGGAGGCGCTCCGGAGCGGAGCTGCTGAGCGACTCGTTCCCCGTGGCGGCCGCGGAGAGGCTGCTGGAGGTGGGGCTGCGGTGCGCCTCTGAGGATGAGGATGAGGAGGGAAAGGAGCGGCCGGAGATGGGGTGGGTGGCCGGCAAGGTGTCGCGGTTGTACGTCGAGTCCCGGGCGTGGGAGCGCACCCTGCAGCCGCCCTCCGACGACCTTTCCTCCGTCGCCCTCGCGCCGCGATAGATAGCAGCCATTACTAATCCAAAGCTGACTTTTTCTTCTTCTTCTCTTTCACATCTGCTCTACCTGTACTTGACTCTCATTCATCAACATCAAATGAAATACTCCTTGAGATTTCGAAACTCAAAAGAATACGAATTCAATTTGACAAATCTCCTTCAAATTTCCAGCTTTGATTTCAAGGAGTGAGACCAAACCATCATCAACAACAACCGTTTTTTTTTACTTTTATTACTTTGATTCAAGGAGTGAGACCAAATCCAAATGAAACCAAACAGTGATGACATTGGTAAAATTGCCCACCCACATTGTACTACGTACTAGTTTGTTCTTTCATCATCACAAAATAGCATCTACTCCCTCCATTTCTAAATATATAAGTCTTTTTAAACATAATAAAGATTCTAGTATAAACTAGATACCAAGAAAAAATGAGTGAATCTAAACTCTAAACTACGTGCTGACTGATATTCTGAGGCTGTTTGTTTGTTAAACCACAGGCATATACTGTACTCTATGTAATAATGTAGTACTACTTTACTATGTCAACAACAACGACATGACAGATTAGGGAGGGATTCTTCAACAGTAGATTTGATTTGATCAACAACGACATGACAGACGCGTTTATTCCACCTCTTCTCGCCGCCGCCGATCCCCTTCCACCACCACCGCCACCTTGGGACGACGAGGTTAGGGTTTCTCGTCGTGTGAGAGATTTCATGTCAAATGCTTCAGATCAGTTCAAGGGTTGATCTCCAGGGCGCTGGTCACCGAGATTCACCGAAACTTTGATAATATATTTGGATCATTTTTGCGTGCACAAAAAAAAATCAAATATGGACTCAGATTTTTGTTGCATTTGAGTTCTGAATTCAAAAAACTAATGAATTCAAATTGTACACAAAGCTCCTTCGAATTCTCTTGTAATTTCAACAACTGAGGCTTTCAGCACATAAGAGGAAGAGGATGATTCTTCCTTCATCATCCCTTTTTCTTTTCTTTTACTCCCCCCATCCCATCCCATTTTTGCAGGCTTGTTAGATTGCAAAAAAAAAACATCTTATATTGTGGGACGGAGGAAGTGTATTTTTTTGAACTTTGGAGTCCAAATGAACAAACAGTGATAACATTGGTAAAATGGCCCACATTGTAGTACTAGTTTGGTCTTTCTTTGCTCATTACTACTGTCCTTGGCAAAATAACATCCACATAAGAAGCTTAAACAGTGATACTGCAAGTGCTAACGAATATTCATTCTGAGAGGCTGTTTTTTTTTGTTTGTTTGTTTGTTATAAACCACAGCCATGTCTAGTATACCAACAATGACATGATAGGTAAAGGCTTCTTCAACTGCTGGTAAATTTGGTACGTACTAAACAAAATTGGGGTCTCTCAGCTACACAAACATGTTCCATTCCATTCACCTCCTGTTGCTGTAGTAGTGCCTGTCCCTCTCTCTCTCCCTTTCCCTCTCCCTCTCCCTCTCCCTCTCCCTTTCCCTTTCCCTCGAACCCGAGCCCGAGCCCGAGTGCTGCCTGCTCGAAAACGCGGGGCTCGGGGTCCAGGCACCATCGTCATAACCAGATGAGCTTCTTCTTCCGGCACCAGGGATCGCCGGTCCGTAGTCGTACGAGTGATACCTCGATGACGAGTAATGCTCGACGCCTGGAAGGGCAGGAGGAGCTCTATCCCTCGAATCTGATGATGAGTGCTGGTGACGGCCAGAGGAGGACTGAAGAGGGGGCGGCGGAGCGCTGCCCCACAGCCAAGGGTCGCCGTTCTCTGGGACGGGCGCGTTTATTCCAGGGAACTCCACCGTCATCCTCTTGCGAGGCGGGGATGGTTCACCCTTCTCCGGAAGCTCTCCCTCCTCATGCTGCTGCTCTTCCTTCACCTCCCCGTCCCCAAATATGGTGATGCCAGATGGTTTGTCTTCATCTTCCACCTCATCTAAACAAACCAGAATCATTTCAGTTAGCCCACACACAAGAGTCAAGACTAAACTATGAAGACTCGCTGCTCTCTTCAATTGAGGGGTGGAACTGAAGTGCTCTGCTTACCTAGGTAACCTGGAGGATAACCCAATTCGCGCATTCTGTGCAGCCACGGCGGCGGGTCATTTTCCTGCATGGATTGTGATACTCTCAGAAAAAGAAACTTGTGGAAGTTAACATAAATTAATTGGGGCAGTGTTGCTATTGGTTCCTAAGTGACAAGAGAAACTTGAGTTCACAAAACTGAACCACTGCTCTAGCAATGAAACCATCCCTAGTTCCAACTATTTTTTTATGGTGGGTGAGAACATCAAAGGCAATTGGCTGATTACAAAAAGATTAGAAACTTCATTTCAAGAATTTGTAGGAATTTAATTCGTCATGCTTGACCATACCGAAAGAAGGATGCTGAACTCACAACAAAATCATTTAACCCTAGACAATAATCACACAACAAAACGGTTGGATTCATACATGTTGCTCTTTGTTTATCCATGCTACTAAAATTCAAAAGAACAAGAATCACTATTTGCTTTCAGCTCGTGTATGCACATATTTACAGATCGTTTAATTAAGCTAACAGGTGGAAGCTAAAAGATGGGTCCTTCCATCTCACAGTTCAACTAAAGATTGGTATATCCTAACAATGAAAAATTGATATATCCTAATCATGAAAAAAAGGGAAACAGACCAAAAATCAAGTGAAACAAGCTTTAACTGAAAAAGAGAACGCATCCCTTACCCTGAGCCCCAAGCATTCTCTAGTCTCAGATCCCAGGACTCCTGCCTTCAGATCATCAAATTTGCCTGGCGTCTTCTGGTAGTAGCGATTTTGTCCACGATTACCAACATTAGATAGGTTCCTTTTCAAGTTGTGCTGCTTGCGGGCATTGCTAATTGCAACATGGTCACGAGGCTTTGGGCAATCCTTAAGAGCATGGCTATACGAACCACAGTTGAAACAGCGAGAATCATCCTTATCTTTCTTGCTGCCAGAGAAACAAGACATGTCATGCTGCAGATCCACGCAAAGGTATACTAATGCTATAATTAGGGATCAGCTATGAAAAAGATCATTACGAGACCAAAAACGCCAGATGGAAGTAACTACCAAGAAAGATGATCAGACAAAGAAATTCAAACAGAAGCCTATGTCTTCAGAGAGAATGAACTATGTTTTCGAACTCTGGAGTTACTAGTTACTATGTATTCAATACAAGCATACCAGCTTCAATCATCTATTCATAGTCTCAGAATATATTGGTATCAGGACAAAGATTATTCACAGATTACATTTGATGATCAAGATATGATATATAAGAATAAATCAAATTGCTGATATTTATAAATCATTAATTTACAATATATTGGTGTCACACAGAAACTAGTATTAAGACTCCAGCACGTAAATACAGCCCAAAATATTTAGGAATAAAGGCGATGGAAGTTTGACAGTCATGCCGAATGCAAGGTCACTCACAAATGGCATTTTAATTCTACCAGCTAATGCAAGATCAGAAGAACAAAATAAAAGGGCAACCTGGTGCATGTAGCTCCCGCTTGCGCAGGGTCCAGGGAAGGGTCCGACCACTTTGGGTCTATAGTACACAGCCTTTCCCTACATTTCTGTAAGAGGCTGTTTCCAGGACTTGAACCCATGACCTCATGGTCACAAGGCAGCAGCTTTACCACTGCGCCAAGGCTCCCCTTCATCAGAAGAACAAAATAGAAAGCAAAAAATAAGACAAAGATCGATACCCTTCAGCATTTGATGAATCACCCATAGGAGTTGAACCCAATGTAAATTCTCGATCATACAGCGGCACCGCACCATCATCCACAGCAGCATTTCCTCGTGCTTGGCTATCCACCCAGAATGACTTCTCAATAAGAAAAACAAAATAAAACAAAAGGTAGAATTATTAGATTCTAACTAACTTAATCCATGAGTCAGATCTCAACTCAAACGCAACATGTACCAAAGATAATTAAGAACTAAGACATACATCTATCCTGCTGCCACTATTATCCTGATACGTACTAGTCATATCTCATATCCATGAACTGCTTAATTTTCCTTTTTTAGGACATCCTATGCCTTAATTTTATTGTCTTCCTAAATAGGCACGTGTTGCTGTCTTATACATGCCAGACTGCCACAGAGCCCAGGCCCATGACCATGACCATAACGCCGAATGCTCTATGAATATTATCCGCCAATCAATTAACTACTAGGAAGAATCTTGGTTGTTCATTTTTATCTCTGAGATGAGATAGTGGAGTCGGGATCTCCTACCAGTAAGGGCTGAACAACAACCCAACCTCAATGAGCTGTTAGAGAATGCACTCTTATCACTACAGCCAAATGAAGCAACTAATCAACTATGTGATATCTAGCTAATCTGGAGCCTCAGTGAAATAATATATCAGTCTCAGGGATTGTTAGCACCGTCCTCATCTGGAAACGAGTGGTTGCTTCGTGTGCTGGCTGGGTAAATGTAAAGGTGGTGCTATACCTTGATGCTCATGACAGGTACATTGCAAGTAGCAGAATTGCAATTTTCAGGAAACAAAACTCGTATAACTCCACCACGGGAGCATGTCTTCGATGTCCATTTTAGTGAATGAATTTAATCGAAAACAGGCCAACCAAAGTTTTGTAACAGCAATCCCATACTTTAGTTGGAGGTTAAATCTTCAGACTGAGCTTAGGAAGGATAACAATGGCGAGCTTATACATACCACAGCACAGGATCTCTCTGAACCAACATGTAATGCTGGATAATAAGTCTCTTCACCACAGTCCAAGACTTTTTCCACAGTTTCCTGCCATTATCAAGAAATGGAATTTTGGGTTCAGCATTTCTATACAGATAACAGTCGTATTCTAGTCTATAGTAACCTATTAAATGTACCCTCCACAAGTCATTATCTTCCTTCTATTGGCCAAGGCAATAATTATATTTTAGCAGTGAAGCAATAACAATAGCACCAAAACCAACTAACTACCCAATGGTGCTCTACAGAGGGAACATGAAAGATACATGAGATGAGATAACCAAAATCAACCGTGCCAATAAAGAAGCTCTCATTTAAAGCTTAGTCCGAGAGCTGCTGATATATGGGAATAATAAAGATTATAAAGTCGATTCATGCAAAACTACCATAACAGCAAAAGCCAGGGTTGTAAGGAACAGTACCGTCAAGGCGTGTTGCTTTCTAGCTTGCCACTCGGACCATTGCTGCATCAGTTCCACGAGTTTCCTTTTGCTTTCCCTGGAATATCGGGAAATTGGAAATTAGCACTGAAACTACTAGAGAGTTTTAAGGTGTTTTTCAGAAGGATAAATTGATTAACAAATGCAACGCGCTGTCATAGATAGTATTCATTCAGAATAAAAAGCATCTCATCTCATGATTAACGGACCTTGTCATGTTGTTGTAGACTACACGAACAGAAGGCTCGGCTGATTCCGTGCGGGGTCTTTTAACTCCTCTTGTGGCTGAAGATGTAATATCAAGGAACAAAAACATGTACTAGAAATGATCCGATTGGTAATAGCATGTCTGTAACCCTGGCGCTGTTTTCATTCATGTCAATACAGTTGAAGGTAAGAAGATGGAAACAGAGGAGGATACGGCTTTGGTCGATAAAGGAGCCGCTGCTCAGTCTTGAAGAAAGGGGAGGCCCGTCATTGTTGCCCATGGGTGTTCCAGCTGCTGAAACACAAGCATGCTGCTTTGTAACAATGACTAGGGCATTGTCGTCGGAGAGGTCCATGTCCTCAACCTGGCCTTCTTCGAGGTCGATGATGTCATCATCTTGCGGTTGGTGGTGGGATGGGGGAGGAGGAGGCCCCACTCCATTGGCACCCAAGGCTTCTTCTTTGGCCTTGGCCTGGGGGTTATCTGCTGCTGCATCTTGGGCAGCAGCAGCAGCAGCAGAAGAAGAAGAAGATTGTTGGCAGGCGATCTGGCCTTCCTCGAGGTCGATGACCTCGACGACGACGGAACTAGTACTGGCCTTGGTGCCTTGTGGGTGGTGCTGGGATGGCAGAGGCTCCGGCTCCGGCTCCGGCTGTGGTGGTGCGTGATTGAGATTCAGATTCAGATCGACGGCATCGACTTGGAGGGGCTGGTGGAGATCTTCCGAGGCGCGAGGCTGAGGTTCGTCGCCGAGACTGATGAACTCGTCCATCAATCTCAATCTCCTCTGTCTCTTGGGGGAGGGGAGGGCTGCAGATTCAGATTCAGAATGAATCAAGCCTGGTGCCTTGAATCATGGGCTGGAAAGAAAGAAAGAAAGGAATTTTGAGAGAGCAGGAGCGGAAATCAATCATCAACAGAATAAAGTGGAGAGATCTACCTCCACCTTACCTGCGGGTGGAGCTGTTGATTGCGGGCGGGCGGACGGACGGCGGTGAGGCCCCTTCCTTGTTCCTCCTCCTCCTCCTCCTCTATAAGGACAGGAGAGGATAGGCGGCGGCGGCGGCGGCGGCGGGGAGCTGTCCGTCCCCAGCTCTTCTTCTAGTATATCCACAGTATCCGAGAGTGTCTAGGGCAGGGCAACCGTCCGTCCGTCCGGTTGGTATTCTGCTCGTGCTCGCTCAGGTCAGGTCAGGTCAGGGAAGGCCGTAATCCAAACAAGAGAGTTTTGGACCAAACCCCAAGGAAGGCTCTTTCATTCAAACCAACCAAATTTGCATCATTTTCATTTGTGGAGGATTCCATTTCATCCTTAGAACAAGAAAAAATCTACCTTTCTAATTGGAATCCTTTGGAGATTTTTTTAATCATCTCATTTTACTCTATTCTATTCTATTTTTTTATATTTTTTTGCAGATGATTTCATTTTACTCTATTCTATTCTATTTTGGAGGAAAAAACTTCCATGCACTCAAACTTCTTGCTACAAATATAGGGAGTCCGGCTGGTCGCGCCCCAGCTGCCCGATGCAGTGAGTCGGGTTCGTCCGATCTGGCATCTCAACCCCCGACTCCTTCTTCCTTATCCAATCAACGCTTTCCCCCTTCCCGCAGCCAATCTTCCTCCTCCCGTGGCTGTGCGTGCCGCTCCCCCTCGCCGGTTTGCTCGCCCTAGTCAAATCGCAACAAAAGACAATATGAAGTGTAGTAGCTTTTTCCCCGCATTCCCCGCATTCATGGTTACCCGGCCACAAAAACCTCTTCCTCTCATCGGTGCTGTCGTTGCAGCATTAATGGCGACACCGCCGCGCCACCCAACAAGGCAACAACCAACACAACACAGCACCTCTCTCTGCTCTGCTCTGTTGCAGAAGAAGAATAGATCCCCCGCCGCGAGCGTGAACCAACAGCCTCTGCTCTGCTCTGCTGCAGATCCTCCCCACCACCACCACCACCACCACCAGTGATTTGATCTTGGTTGTTGTTGCTCAGCTGAAAGGGAAAGTGATTTGATTCAGCTTCAGCAGGGAAGGCGACGCCCACAAGACAACTGTTGCTTCTTCTCCTGCTGACCTGACCTGACTGGTAGATTTTCCTTTCCCTTCCCTTCGTTGTAATTTCTACGTATGTGTTAGCTCATGATCGATCGTTCAAATTTCAGTTCCTGTTCCTGACTAGTTGTGTTATCATTCAGGATGGCGATGTGTGTGCCAGTCGTCATCTTGTCTCATGTTATTCTTGTCGTATGCTACCTTGCATGGTCTACTACCACTACACATTGTAAGAGCGCGCGCTCTCTCTCCCTACTTGAAATAAGATAAACAATTAATATGTCTTCTTATCACATACATTTCATCATCAATCGCATCACCACCAGATACTTCTTAAGAAGGAAGATTCAACTTATTAGTTTCATGTGGATGTGTGAGTGAAATGAATTTGACTCTACATGCATATATACTACACCACAACTAGGTTTGATCTTGACAAGAGGGGAGGGCTCAGACTCAGAGGTAACGGCGCTTTAGAGGCCGATTTTGTTGACGAATAACTTTACATATTTTCCTTTTCAACTTGACATGCTCACGGGCCATGCTAATCGCAACATGGTCGTGAGGCTTTGGGCAGTCCTTGAGAGCACGACTAGGCGAAGCACAGTTGAGGCAGCGCCAATCATCCTTCATTATCTTCTCTTGCTGCCACACAGACAACACAACACAAAGTCCACTCACAATTTAATTGGCATTTTTATTCTTATTACCAGTCGGCTAATCCAAATTGAGAAAATAAAATAAAATAAACATGACCAAGGAGGCCATCATATATATGGACAGAAAGGATAACTGCTACTCCCTCTATTCTAAATTAGTTGACTTGGATGTATTTAGATATGGATGTATCTAACACTAAAACATGTCTAGATAAATCTGTATCTAGATAAATCTGAGTCAACTAATTTGGAACGGATGGAGTACCTCTCAGCATTCACCCAATGTAAATTCAGGATCGTACAGGGGCACCGCACCATCATCCACATCCACAGCAGCATTTTCTCGTGCTTGGTTATTATCCACCCAGAATGACTACTTGTCAATGAGTGAGTAAAACAAAAGGCCATCCACAAGTCAGACAGATCTTAACTCAAACTCAAGACATGCCAAAGATAAAATTTCATAATTAAGACCTACTCCATCCGTTCGTAAATACAAGTCTTTTTAGAGATTCCAGTATAAACCACATACGGAGCAAAATGAGTGAACTACACTCTAAAATATGTCTATATATATCCAGTTAAAACAGTCTTACTCTCCACAAGTCATTATCATCGTCTTATATTGGCCAAGGCAATATCTAGTACTCCCTCCGTTCCTAAATACTTGTCTTTTTAGAGATGTCAAATGGACTACCACATACGGATGTATATAGACATACTTTAGAGTGTAGATTCACTCATTTTGCTCCGTATATAGTCATTTGTTGAAATCTCTATAAAGACAAATATTTAGGAATGGAGGAAGTATATTTTATCAGTGAAGAATAACAATGGTACCAAAACATTAAAACCAACTAGCCAAGGGTGCTCTACTGAGGGAACATGGAAGATATAGGGAACCAAACGTAATTTTGGCATGCCTGTTTTCTTCATCGTCTCTGGTTTAAAGCATAAATATAGCCAGAGAGCTGATGATAGATACAGATTATGAAGACGATGCGGAACCACCGTGCCAAAACAAGTCATATATATAGTGTTGCAGGGAGGAGCAGTACGTACCGTTGAGTTGGGTTGCTTTCTAACTTGCCACTCGGACCATTATTGTTGCATCAGTTCCATGAGCTCTCTCTTGCTTTCTCTGCACAAATAATATCAGGACAAACAAAAAGTTAGCACTCAAACAAACTAGAGTTCTTGTGGCTGAACAGGCAATATCAAGGAACAAAAACATGTAGCAACGATCTGATTTGTAATAAGATCTTAATTTAGATGTCAATACGGTTGACGATGGAGATAAGGAGGAATAATGAATTAAACTACTCATGTGTGAGAGTGAGAGGATATGGGTTTGGTGGATAAGGGCGCTGCTTGTTCATGTCTTGAAGCATGAACAAGCAGGGCAGCCTGAGGCCCACTGCCCTTGCCTATTTCAGCTGAAACACCATGTTTTGTAACAAGGACCAGGCTGTCATCCGAGAGGTCCATATCCTCAACCTGCTGCCATTAGCAAGAAAAGAAATTAAAGGAGAAGTTTGTTAGTGTTCAACATCTTTATATAGATAACAGTCCTATTCTAGTAACTTGTAAGGAATGGCTGAGGGGGTCCTCGGACGTCCGGCCTGTTAGCCATGGGCCGGACTGATGGGTTGTGAAGATACGAAGACCGAAAACTGCTGTGACGCCCGGATAGTTAAACTACAGTGAACCTTTGCTAATGATGCCACATCACCACGGTTACTGTTGTTAACCTCGTGTTAGTTCAAACCGATCCAAATTTGAATTTGAATTTAAGACAAATGGTAAAAGTTTTCTAATGACAAAACTAAAATGTTTAATGTGTTGCAAATAATCATTGGAAAAATTTCATGCTGAAACCCACACTTTTATAAAACATTAAATGCACTCAAATAATTAAACAGTGGCTAGAACAATATAGTTAAAGTCCTTTCCACTTATGAAAGATTCAAACAAACTCAAAAGCCTCCCAAACTTTTTATGGCAGTGCTAGCTAATGCAAGGTATTTATGTGGGCAAGTCCCCTTTTTTTACAGAATACATTTGCTAGCTAAAAGAATATGCAAAACGAAAAGAATAAATGTAAAGCAGAAAGTAAATAAAGAAAAAGAGAGAAAAGCAAAACAAAGCCCCTTGCCCCCCCCCCC